AGGCAAGGAGGTGGAGGGACTAAGAAAAGCACAGCTCCGTGCCCAAAGAGAAGATCCCATCTTACGAAGAACATAAACAAAAGGTGACATTTGGTAGCAACAATGGATCACATGGGTAAAAACAACCCTGTGTGTGTTTCTAAACCTTATGAAATCACTAGAGATCCATGGATAACAGCTGCACAGTACTCTTTTTATGTTAGGAATCAACACATGCCGCCAACCGCAGTGGCCTATAATCATGATCCTGATACAGCAGCCTTTGAGGCAGCTAAACTCAAAATTACACACATCTACTGAGAGGTTTCTCCACAGAAAAGACTATTTTATCTGACCCAGATTCAGAGTGGTTTTAGAAGACTGGTGCTCCACTGAATATACTTTTACCTCCTAGCAGAATCTCAACACAACATCTATGTCTGGAACAAGGAAACAGAGCAAAGGCTAGTTTCCTTTGCATCAGAAAGGCCCGCAATATCACTATACTTCACAAGGGATCAGTGACAATTTTAAACCACATTCCCTCTTTTATAAGTCAGTTGTAACTCTGCCTTTGGGGGGTAATTATACTATCTTTGTGTATGAACAAGTTAAACTTGTTTTAACTGCTGTTTTTTTCTCAAAGAGGTTGCTTATCACTCAGCTGTTTGTTATACAGCACATGGATATACAGTAACATATCTAGTTTTCATGTAATCACACATTATCACACCCTGTCTCATTATCAGTGTTAGCAGAATTAAATACAGAGAAAAATATTTCCATGCAGTTTTTCACGAGTTGATGTAAAGACAGTAGCTGGTTGGTAGGAATGAGGTCCGACTGGCACCTTTCCCAGCTGTCGTGGGGTGAGAGGTAGTGCACTGTAGACCCTGGACAGGTCAGCAGTCTGTGTCCAGGTGAACCCTTGATGACCTTTCATGCTCACACACTGACACCCACGGCCAGAATCACCAGTTAACCTAATGTGCATAGTGTAGTGGCGTACGCGGTTACCTAACAAGACAAAGCTCCTTGGGTTGTTTCTGGGAAGTGACACACAAATCCCTTTGGGGTTGCACTGGGAAGCGCTTCTGGGATGAAAAGCTGCAAAATCAAACATGCAGAGTTACCAGCTGTGGTGACCTCTAATTTACTCTAGTTAAAGTAGCTCTAATTAACCCAACATGTCTTTGGACTCTGGGAGGAAACCAGAGTACCTAGAGAGAACCCACGCAGGCAGGAAAACATGCAAACGCCACACAGAAAGACCCCACCCACAAATAAAGGGAGCCACTAATGCAGTTTGCAGGTCACTGCCCTAAGTGCTTCACACGGACGTATATGTCTATATATATATGTCTGTCTGCCGTTTTTTCCAGGAGTAGGTGGAGGCGCAAATAGAAACGTCATGCCAAATCATTTCTAAGGATTATTTTGCTCTCTGTCTGCTGGATATATAAGAAAGCAGCTATTGGTAATATTACCAGTTTATAAGGAGAAATGCTAAATGTTTACAGCAAGTGCACAAAAAATAATACAATCATTGGTGTTTGCTATGCTAACAAACTATCTCACACACACAGCGCTGCTGAAGTCTCCAGTAGCACGACTTCACTCTGCAATGCCATTAGCCCCTAAATAAACACAGCTTGCTTCCTGGTTTAGTCGCTGTCTGAACGTTTATTACCTCTTGTTACAGGACTGCAGGCCTCTTGCTGCTCAAACTGCAGGCTGCCTACCACAGATGGCAACCTTCACAGTT